TCCGAGTCTTTCAAGATATCGGGAAAGCTGAGCCCGAACACTCATCTTGCGTTTGCTCATTGACCACGCCCATTTGGACACACTCCATTACATGCTCGCGATTGCTGCTCGCCGTAGGCGCGACAGAGCTGGCTGTCTGAGCTCTAGCCAATGGTGCACCAGAGCAAATACGTTCTTGGCCATTCGCGTGTGGCGACCTTGAGTCATCATGGAGGCCGTGGGCGGCTAACTCGAGCTCCGAGTCTCCATCTGTATGAGAAGCTCGACGTGGACTTTCCGGAAGCCGATAGCTCACAGTCAATATCGCCATGTAGAGAAGCCATTGAGGGAACACTAGCCTCGTGTAGCAACCGGCCAGCGAAAGTCCAAGAACGCTTGTAGATGCTAGTATGATAAACAAACCTAGGAGCAACAAATGATCGGCTATCCTCTTCTCAGATGACATTCCTCGGGAGGCAAGAAATAAAACCCCAATAGCAGCAACTTGCGAGGTAAATGGTGTCATGTAAGCAAGCTCAAGGGGTGCTGGCGTATTCGGTATCATCACCAAGATGATAGCAAGGATCACTTCAATGTATTCCACAACGAGGAGCCATTTCCACCACCCTTCTTTATTGATTATGATCGTGAACGTGTAAATAATGGCAATAACCTGTAGTTATCTCGTTAGAATAAGTTTTGAACTGATTGGAGACTGCAGCAAACCTGAAGCATAGCAACTCCCCATAGGGAGATGATTGCTAATATGGTATGTATAGAACTTGAAAGCACTTGCGGCAGCCTGACTTGTTGGCTGTACTCGAGGGAGAAGAGGATCAGAGCTATCAGCTCCAACGTAATCCATCCCCCGATTGAATATACGAACCATGCCTCCCGCGACCACGGGTGACGAAACTTGAGGGAGACGAAAAGACAGACACAAACCAACGAAAGGCTGGTCATCAAATAAGCGTCAGTGATCTGATGTTGAGAGATGCGGCCCATGATTTGATGAATGCAATCAGTCGTAAGTAAATAATGTTCAAAAAGTATATGTGAGGTTTGGCCAGAATTGGTGTGGAAGCAAGATAAAAGGGGGACCGGCCCTACTTATGCTTGCGACTTGAGTCCGCCCCAGGAGTCAACTCCACCACATCAAACAACGCGTGATTAATGAGCTAAGCGAACCATCCCGATGATGGCTATGTACCTCCACTCCATCATTCTTGCTCATCTCCCGGGTTTGGGAATAGCATCGGCAACTGCTATGGATCGCCGAAGTTTCCCGAGGGCCGTAACCACACACGCTCAAGCACTCCGAACATTGAGAGCTCTCGTGAGATCTTGTGAGATAAATCTACGGCTGATCTTAGGGAAAATGAGTGTTATTGCTTAGCTTAACAGCATACTAAATACGGAAGGGACTGATAGCTCCAACATCTTCTCGTCTTGACAGCATTCGAATACAGTAAGGACTGGTAAAGCACTTCCTCAGTTCTGTCTCGTCACCTCAGTCTAACCCTGTCTGGCGCCCTTTCCCATCGCTCGTTTCTTGGCCTTCTTTTCTTCATGAAGATCATCCACCCATTGGCCACAGTGTTTTACTGCATTAGCCGGGGAACCCCAGTGTTGCTGGAGATAAGCTATAACCTCCGCTGGGCTGAACACAGACTCCGGTATCTTTGCTGCAAACAACTTTGCCTGTTCCTTGATCTCTTCATTCTCTGCCTGTCTTTTGATTTTTTCATCATGGCCTCCTTGTTGACTAACATTTCTATGATCGAGTTCGGGTTGTTTGAACATGAAGCGATAGATCTCATTAACGATGCTTTCATTAGCAAGCTGGAACGCAATCTTCAAATCTACTCGACCAGGTCGAGTGAGGGCATGATCTAGTTTTTCAGGATGATTGGTTGTCATGATCAGAATTCGGTCGTCCTGAGAGGAAACCCCATCAAGGACATTCAAAAGGCCCGAAAGGGTCACCCCCTTTTTTGGTGACCTCGTGTCTACATCGCTGTCTGAATCGGTGTCAGAGCCTCTAGACAATGTAGCTCCCGCGGCATCAATGTCCTCCAACAAGACGACACATTTATCTGGAAGCGCAGCAAATAGGTCATTCAGCTTTTCATCGTTCATGCTAGGGATGCTGACGACGTAGATATCCATATCCAATGCGCCGGCAATAGATAGGCTGAAGCTTGTCTTTCCGGTTCCAGGAGGTCCATGTAGAAGATATCCTCGTTTGTAGGGGATCGAGTGATCGGAATACCGTTTTTTGGTTTCTGGGTCGAGGAATTTGTTGATATCATTGATGAGTTGACCCTTTTGCTCTTCATCGAGTATGACGGTTGCAAGAGGTCGAGCAACCACCGCCTTTTCTTTTATCCAGTGATTTTCGCGATGTGCATAGATAGTTGTTTTATTCTTCAATCCATCGAGATATTCACGTCGGCAGTCTTCCATAAGACATTTCAGGATTTGCGAAGATCGTCCGACACAAGTGATGGAGATCTGTTCCTCCTTGCGAAGGCCGACATCCACCTGTGTAGTTTGGTACGAAAGCAAATTCTTCCCGTACCAGAAGTAGAAAGCCCCTTCCCATGGGGCATACTGGAGCGGCTTTTTAGTGCGGGCATCACGAGTTCTTTGTTTCTTGTTGACTTTGGCACGAATGGAACGAGCGGCATCCTCCAGTCCATGGGCTGAGACCCACGCTTGGATCATGTCGTATGTTTCATCATAGCGTTTGATCCGGAGAGTCGATGCTTGTAGAGGTGAGCCCGGGTCCTGTGATTGTGTT